CATGTGTTTATTAAGGTCTGAAATAAAACAAGATGAGAACTTAAATATTCCCTGCACTTTCTGTGATATAGTATGCTTGCTTATCATAGGAAGTAATTAGAAATGACTCTTTACATTAAGGGAGTAGCCTAGTGAGAACAGGGTGTTGGGGGAATCACGTTTTTTCTCTTTTTCATCAAACCGCAGTTTTTGCAAGTTCCCGCAATTTTTGTAAGTTCCCGTGATTTCATCGCATAAAATTGCATAATTATCCCGCATATTCCATCGCATTTTTTAAGAAAACGTGCCGCATTATCAAGGATTTTTGCCTGCAACAACCACAAAAAAACTACGCATTTTTCTGGAAGGTTTTCTGTGTGTTGAACCTACACAAAACCTTCTGTTTTCACATCTTTAAGGGTCATTCTGACCGATGATGATAACAAAGATTCAGTAATACTGTGATAATGTCAAACCGGCTATCTTACCGTTAAAGTTTCATACCATTGCAGCCATAGTAGACAGAGAAACTAAGGGAAAAGTAAGAACCTTGACTTCCTGTCTCAGATGCTCCACTTCCTGTGTCAGACTGTGAATGGTGTGGCCCTTGTCCTCTGCTTGGCTCTCCAGGTCCTGGAGGCGGGTCTTTGCAGTGCTGAGCTGCTCTGATAGGCTGTCAGAAATGTCAGTCTGCTCTTTGAGCTTCATCTGGAGATCAGTCACCTGGAAACATCATTTAACGGACAATTATTAACTACATCAGTTATTGTTAATGCCATCTTTATAAACTCTGTACAATGGGACAGAAAGAGGAACATGTAGGTAAACATGGTACTTCTGTCTGGAGCTGGAAGATGCCGTTAACCAGAGCTTTGTTCTCCTTCATCAGTCGGGATGTTTCCTTCTGCTCCGACTCCAGAGACGAAAACACAGAGTCACAGTTTGGACACTCGTCCAGATCTACAGGAGACAGACAGTTATCATAGTTTCAGTTCTCTTACTTTACATTAAAGAGGAGTAAAGTTGTATTTCACTGCTAGAAAGTCTAATAAGTGTTAACTGGTGACTTCCAGCTGAATGTGTGTGTGTGGCTCCTCATAGTAACCTGGAAGAGCGCACCAGCTGATGAGTGCGTCCCCAAATTGCTCAAAGTAAAACTGAAGGCTGTTTTGAGGATGCTGTCAAGTTTGGTTCATGTCCATGTTCATAAACTCTGTGTGAGGGTTCAGCTCCTACCTGTCAGCTCCTGCATCTTCTGCTCCAGCACAGCCTGCTCCTTCTTCAGCTCCTCCACCTCCTCCTCCCGTCTCCTCAGCTCCTCCTCCAGACCCTTCCTCCTCCCCTCCCTCTCTCTCAGCTCCAAGATTGTTTCCTCTTTCTTGTCGTTTTCCTCCTGCAACCTCCAGATCTCCTCCTCCAAAACTGGAGAGCCTAAAAAAAGATTAAAAAATAGTTAAAAATAGGTAACACAGTGTAAACGCCATCCCTCCATCAGCTCCTCCTCCTCTCACCTCTTTTCTTTGCTGGTTCTCTCTCCTCCTCGTCCTCCAGAGCTTCACGCTGACGTTTCCTGCTCTCCTCCGCTCCTCCTGTCCTCCTCAGACAGCTGCAGGTCTGCTGAAGCTCCAACAGCTCCGACCTGATCGACTCCACCAGCTCCCTCTGAAAGACCAGGATGTGGGTTTTAACAGCAGTCACACTGTGAGAACGGGGTCCTACATATTTTACAAGGTCTGGTGGTATTTGTTCTGTAGAGCTTTAAATCTGCCATTAGGGGATGTTTGTCAGTGTGACACTGAGGACATTAATAGACCTCAAAGAAAGAAAACAACCTGAAAGAGACAGGAAACAACCTGAAAGAGACAGGAAAAGACCCCCAAGAGACAGGAAATGACCCCAGAGAGATAGAAAATGACCTGAAAGAGACAGGAAACAACCTCAAAGAGACAGGAAAAGACCCAAAGAGACAGAAAATGGCCTCAAAGAGACAAGAAACAACCTCAAAGAGACTGGAAACGACCTCAAAGAACCAGAAAATGACCCCAAAGAGACAGAAAACAACCTCAAAGAGACAGGAAACGACCCCAAAGAGACAGAAAATGACCTCAAAGAGCCAAGAAACAACCTCAAAGAGACAGAAAATGATCCCAAAGAGACAGAAAACAACCTCAAAGAGACAGGAAATGACCTCAAAGAGACAGAAAATGACCTCATAGAGACAGGAAACAACCTCAAACAGACAAAATGACCTCAAAGAGACAGGAAACGACCTCAAAGAGACAGAAAATGACCTCAAAGAGACAGGAAACAACCTCAAAGAGACAGAAAACAACCTCAAACAGACAGGAAACAACCTCAAAGAGACAGGAAAAGACCCCAGAGAGATGAAAAACTTTCACAAACAAACACAAAACAAATAAGACTCAAGACATCTCTCAGGTTTCCTTCTGATGTTAACTTATCAAACAAAAGTGTGTGTTTACGTCTCTGGTGGCGTTCCCCACAGTGGCGTCCATGGCTGCCTGGAGTTTATTGATGATGTCATCTTTCTGCTGACAGATCTCCATCAGCTCCGACAACTTGTGCTGCTGCTGCTCCAGACTCTGGAAAACAAAGTGTGACGCTGTTCAGCAGTAAATAGCTTTCATTTTTTCCAAAGCATTTTCTTTAACATAATAAACTGTCTCGCAGCAGAAACTTTTCACTGTGCACCACAACAACAACAACAACAACAACAAGAAAACAACACAGCAGACACCACAGAAGAAGACAGCGGATCAACAGTACCTCCCTGGCTTCTTGCAGTTGGTCATGTGACTGCTGTTTCTCCAATCGCAGCGCTTCCAGCTCTGTACACGTCATAATGGACAGAGGTCAAAAGTCAACGTTCCACATATGAAAACACTCAGAGACTTAGACAATAGCCCTTTTTAGACAGGAGTTGTGCAAATTTGCAGGAAAGCCCAATCAGTCTTTTTTCAGCATTGGCAGTATAAAAACAAAATCGGGGAGTGCAGCAAAATGCCGCCTACCTACTTTTGTTTATACAGAATGTGCCTTTTTCGGGGCAATGGGGGGCGTGAGCAAGTAACAAAACGTGTAGCTCAGCGTGTGACGTAAACAGTGACGTGGGAGGGAAGCCGC